AGGGGGGTGGGTGTGTGGGAGACAAAGGAGTGGTACTAGGGGGGTGTGTCTGTCAGAATGTTATATTTGTTTAGCCTGCAGTGGGGTACTCAATAGTGAGTACAGCCCAATCTAGGGTTTCATATATGTACTCAACTGCCTGCTAGTGCAAACTCTCTTTCTCGTTTCTAACTTTCAACTGCTGTTTCCAACATGGAATCAGAGCAGGTCAACCCTCACGGGTCGATCCTGTGGATGGGCCCACCCAATGCTTCCGCTGCTGCTGTCCTGCCTGTCGCGCGCCTCGGGCGCGCGCTGTTTTTTCTGGCGCGCGGCAATTTTTCTTCCCGGCGCGCGGCGGTTTTCTGCCTGCCTGCCCGCCCGTCGTGCGCCCCGTGGCGCGCGACGGTGCCCTGCCCGTCGTGCGCCCCGAGGCGCGCGGCGGGTTCGTTGCCTGTCGCGGCACACAGGGGGCCCGCGCACCCCCCCCCCCCCCTCTTTTCCCGTCGCCTGTCGAGGGGCAACCTGGGGGGGGGGCGCGCGTCGCCCCCCCTTCTGCCGCCTGTTCCGGCGCCCTGGGGGGCCGCGCGTCGGCCCCTCCCGTCGTCGTTGCGGCCCTGCCTTGCCGTCCTGCCCCGGCCCTGTCCCGGCCCTGCCCTGCCCGGCTCTGCTCAGTCGCGGCCCTGCCCCCGTCTTCGTCGCGGCCCTGCCCCCCCCCCCCCCCCCGTAACCTCCCTACCCGCCATCTACGGCCCTGCCCTGTGTTAGGGTTTGGGGGTGGCGAGTGGGGGGTGGCAGGTGTGTGGCATCCCCTGCTCCTCCTCCTACTCCGTCTCCCACTGCTGCAGCTGCCGCTGAGGGGGGTGGGTGTCTGGGAGATGACGGGTTGATACTATGGGGGTGTGTCGTGGGAGTGAAACTAGGGGTGCAGCCGGGGGTGTGTGACAGGTGGGGGTGCGACAGTGGGGGAGGTTGAAGGGAAGTAGCCGTCGTGTTGCCAGCAGTGCCAGTAGTCCGGAGGTGCGCTTCCGGTAGCCCAGTGATGCTGCTGCGCCAGTCGCCCGTGGGTCCGTTGCTCCTGCCGCTCGTCTTAGCCGCGGAGCCAGTTACTCCTGTAGTCCGGAGGTGCGCTTCCGGTAGCCACAGTGCGCGCCGCTCCTGTTGCCCGTGTGTCTGCAGCTTCAGCCGTTGCCTCCTCCCTCCTTCCCTATCAGTCCAGCTCCTCCTCCTCACTTGCCCTCTGTGATATCCTCTAGCTTTGCTTGTATTTGTGAACTATAAACTGCTACTTCTTGTACTTGTGCTCAGAATGTGTGGTGACTTTGTGATCCACCCTGAGCTTGTTTTGCTTTGCTTGTTGTGCTGATTACACCCCACTTTGGCTATGGGGGTGTGTCAGAATGTTATATTTGTCTAGCCTGCAGTGGGGTACTCAATAGTGAGTACAGCCCAATCTAGGGTTTGCTATATGTACTCAACTGCCTGCTAGTGCAAACTCTCTTTCTCGTTTCTAACTTTCAACTGCTGTTTCCAACAGTGTCGTGGGAGTGAAACTAGGGGTGCAGGAGGGGGTGGGTGAAAGGGGGGTGAGACAGTTAGAGGGAGGTTGGGCGGAGGCAGCCGTCGTGTCGCCAGCAGCGCCAGTAGTCCGAAGGCTACAATCTCCGGTAGCCCAGCGAGCCTGCTGCGCCAGTCACCCGTGGGTCCGTTACTCCTGCCGCCCAGAGTTAGCCGCAGAGCCAATTACTCCAATAGTCCGGAGGCTACAATCTCCGGTAGCCACAGTGTGCGCCGCTCCTGTTGCCCGTGTTTCTGCAGCTTCATCTGTCGTCTCCTATCTCCTCTCCTCTCACAGTCCCTCCTCCTCCTCCTCACTTACCGTCTGTGACTGCCTCTAGCTTTGCTTATATTTGTGAACTATAAACTGTTGCTTCTTGTACTTGTGCTCAGAATGTGTGGTGACGTTGTGATCCACCCTGAGCTTGTTTTGCTTTGCTTGTTGTGCTGATTACACCCCACTTTGGCTATGGGGGTGTGTCAGAATGTTATGTTTGTCTAGCCTGCAGTGGGGTACTCAATAGTGAGTACAACCCAATTTATGGTTTGCTGTATGTACTCAACTGCTTGCTAGTGAAACCTCTCTTTCTTGTTTCTAACTTTCAACTGCTGTTTCCAGCACTCCGTGCCTATCCCGATGGATGACGAAAATCCTCGCGAAAGCGTCAACGCCGAAACCTATTTCGACTTCGCCGACACCGGTTACGTTACACCTCAACCGGTGAACACCAACGTCTCTGAACGCATAGGACCAAATTTCTTACCAGACCCCGAAGCAAGAGACGAAGCTGCTTATCCAGAGGACACAAATCTCCCCCGCTATACACAGAGTGGCCTGCAGATACTGGGACTTGTCACCGCCGTCCACGGAGCGGAACCACCTAAGGAGCCTGCGACAATTCAGCAGGCTCTGGGGGGGGAACACAGGGAAAAATGGCATGAAGCCATGGATAAAGAGCTGAAGGCACTGCAGGAACGCAACACCTGGAAAGTCGTGCCTGTCGGAGTGGCACGCAACAAAACTATCCTCACGGGAAAATGGGTCTTCCGCGTGAAAACGAAAGCCGACGGAACAATCGACAAGTTCAAAGCACGCTGGGTTGTGCGGGGCTTCGACCAAGAGCAAGGGCGAGACTTCACGGAAACATTCGCCCCAGTAAGCCGACATACCTCACTGCGGATTCTCCTCGCAATCGCCGCCATGAACCGAAAGAAGCTTCGACAAATTGATGTCGCCAACGCCTTCCTCTACGCCCCCGTCGATGCTGAGATTTTCGTCGAACTCCCACACGGATCCAACGCAGGCCCCAACCAAATCTGTCAACTAGAGAAGTGACTGTACGGGATTAAGCAAGCCCCGAGACTATGGCAGCAGCACCTTCACGCCCGCCTTACTCGCATCGTTTTTCTTCAGCTACCACACGACCAAGGAATGTATCGACTGGCGAAAGGCACCGACTACATCCTGCTTATCGTCTACGTCGATGATCTTCTCTACATAGGCTCCACCGACGCGGTAACAACGTGGTTTGAAGGGGAGTTGCAGGGAGATCTAACTCTCACCGTCGCAACCACCGTGACACAGTACCTAGGACTGAACATCGAAGACGGCGACAATACCATCTACCTCAGCGCTGCAAAATACACGGACACTATTGCTAAACGCTTCGGACTCACTCCAACCACTATCTCCACGCCATACCGCTACACCGACGGAAATCCGAAGGCCTCTGCCCTACTCAAACCTGCTGGCGTCCGCGACTACCAAAGGAAGCTAGGCTGCCTACTCTTCGCAGCCGTCACGTGCCGACCGGATCTATCCTACTCAGCTAGCCAACTCGCTACCTACCTTAAGAAGCCTGAAGCAGATCACTTGCTCGAACTCGACCGAGCGCTTCACTACCTCGTCAGTACTCCGACAATCGGACTCACCATCCACAAAACCAGCACCGCAACACCTAAGCTAATCGGCTACGTCGACGCCGATCACGCTGGAGACTCAGACAACATACGGTCTCAAACCGGCTACGTCTACAGACTCGAACCTATCGGGCCTATCTCATGGCAGTCGAACAAGCAAGAGCTAATTGCTCTCTCGTCAGCAGAAGCAGAATATATCGCACTCTGCTCAGCAACCAAGGAAGGGCTATATCTTCGCGAACTACTGGAGGAACTCTGCTCTGCCCAGTTACCCAATTTCTCTCTCTTCTGCGACAACCAATCGGCCATTCGCATAGCGAACAAAAACGGGTTCGCGAATCGAACGAAGCACATCGCCCTTCGGTACTTCTTCGTGAAAGACGAGATCGAAAAGGGAAGACTCGAACTATCCTACTGTCCCACATCCGAGATGGCAGCCGACTACTTGACCAAGAAACTCGGAAAACAGAAGTTCGAGTACTGCATGCTGCTGACTGGACAAGGACACGTCATCAGCAACGATCCTCCAGAAGCGAAGGGGAGTGTTGGAAACAAGTGATTTATAACGCTTCTGTCGTATCGAAGCTTCTACACAAAACGGAACTGACTACAACGAAGAAGCACTCGAGTCAACCTTCGGAGGTTGCGCGAAGGTCAAAGGTCTCCGACCTTTGACCTGACGAAACGTACAGTGCGACAGCAAGGACACATAACTGACTCGTTACAGAGCAGTTACCCGAGTCGGCACTGTATCGAACCGCAACAGCAAAACAGTTAAGATAGAACTTTCATACTCCTTTGTAATCATATAAAAGTCTTGTACTTCTCTGCTATTATTAACTCATCTTGTTCTCACAAACTAGCACAAGGTGGTTCACGGCAACTTTTCATTAATCGCTTCCGCTATTACATCTCTACGACAATACCCGATCTTAGTCCTGAAGGTTCCTAAGGGCTTATCTCAGCCCAACACAATCTACACAATATAAACATTATAACAGTTTGACACACCCCCATAGGCAAAGTGGGGGAGAACAGGGGGTCACAAGACCGGTCAAGAAAAAGCAAAGCAAGCTCAGGGTGGATCACAAAGTCACCACACACTCTAAGCACAAGCAAATGGCCACAAGGCCAGTTCACATGCAGAATTATATAAACGAGAACAAACAGTACAGTGATCATAACCTAGTAGGGGTAAGAATGCAGGTATATGTATATAGATCACATTACAAGCAAAGTCACGCAGTGAGCAAATAAGGCAACGTAGGCACAAGGCCTAAACAGTACAGAAGTGCCTTGGTGAATATAGCAGCAGTGTTGGCCCGAGTGGCCACGTAAGCAAGACGAAGCTGACCACGCTGCTGCACCTCTCGAGTAACGCAAAGCGATGTGCAAATTCCACGTGCCGACGGGCTTCGCGGGGCTCCCGTGGGCTTGGTGCGGCCCTGTTTCTCTCCATGCCAGGCATTGAGTGAGCGGCGCCCTCACTGGCTACGCCCGAGCGCTGTCCCACGCTGTCGTTCTGTGTCGGTGTGCCTGACGATATGATGATCGGCTCCTCGGATTGTGCAGGTGCGTTTGTGGGTGCTGGTGCATTCACTGTCGATTGCTGGCGAGCAGAGTCGCGTTCCGCGGTGAGTGTGGCAATTTCGAGGGCCGAATCTTCAAGTTGGCGTACAAGACGGTCAAGCTGCTCTTATGTCAGCCTCGCGAGGGTGATTTCAGCCATGGCGGGGGTGTCGGGCAAGCTCAGCGAGAGCCTCTGTCGTGGCCGTGCGTGCTTACGAGAGAGCACTACGAGCGGCGGTGCTTGGTCGCTGAGAGACGTCTACCTCCCCCAAAAATTGAGATAGTGGGGAAGCGAAGGTGTGGGTGCGGTCCAAGAGAAGATCGTAGGCTCTGATAACCAAGTGTTACGAGTGCAATTGAGTGAGCGAGCGAGGATTGCACTATCGAGACAAGAATACAATGAGCGAAGGCATGAGCGAAGAATATATAGCGAAGCTACAGTGGTAACGGTAACGTGTGGAAATTGGGGTGCGCGACGGGCCTGGTGCCGAGGTTGGGAAATGTCGAGGCGGAGGTCCGGAGCACGGGTTACCAGTCGAACCGTGAGGTTGGGTCGCCTCGTGAACAGTGGCGGGAATGGGGTCAAGGCGAATGTCGCGAGTGGTAACGGATTCTTGTGGGGTGCTGTTGGCGGGAACAGTGGTGTACGCGCAGAGCAGGGACGCGAAGTAAGGAAACAGGATTTTCCTTATAGTACCTAAGCTAGACTTTTCGTTTTGTATTGGTTCAAACAGAAAGTTCGTTTTGGACTGGCCCCGAAAGAGTGTGGCAGCTTCGGAAACCAGCCGAAGTGCATCGTCACCTTGTTGCCTTTCTCAAACTGAACTCGAGTTTCTACTTTGTAGTACCTATCCCTGAACAGTCGATTTTCCTCCCCGTCGCCCCTCCTCCCCATCGCTTTTCCTCATCGTCGCCCCTACTCCCCGTCGACCCTCCTCCCCATCTCGTTTCCTCCTCGTCGCGCCTCCTCCCCGTCGACTCTCAGCCCCCACGCCTCCCCCACTTTCGCCTCCCTCACCGTCGCCGCTCCCACTGTCACCTTCCCCACTGTCGCCTCTCCTCCCCGTCGACTCCTCCACCGTCGCCGCCCCCACCGTTGCCTTCCCTACCGTCGCCTTTCCTGCCCGTCGCCTCCCTCACCCTCGCTCCTCCCCGTCGTTTCCCCCACCGTCGCTCCTCCCCGTCGTTTCCCCCATCGTCGCTCCTCCCCGTCGCTTCCCCCATCGCCACTCCTCCCCGTCGCCTCTCATCCCCGACGCCTCCGCCCCTTCACGCATCCTCTCCGTCGCCTCTCCTCCGCATCATTCACGACGGGTGAGTTTTTGGGTGAGAGTGAGTGGAGGGGTGAGTGTGTGTGAGTGCGGGGGTGGAGTGAGTGCGGAGGTGAGAGTGAGTGCGGAGGTGAGTGTGACTGCTCGGGTGAGTGTGAGTGCGCAGGTGAATGTGAGTGCGTGGGTGAGTGTGGGTGCGGTGGTGAGTGTGAGTGCGTAGGTGAGTATGGGTGCGTGGGTCAGTCTGGGTGGGGGGTGTTAGAATATATCTGTAACTGCCTGTAGCTGTAGTTAGTGTAGTTATTATAAACTTTGTTTGGTGGTGCACCTTCTTTGTTCCTTTGCTATATGTTCTTGCAAACCTATAGTGAAGCCAATTCATTCTCGCCTAAGATTCTAACATGGTATCAGAGCAATTAAGTCTTAGGACCTAATCTCAATGGGCCCACCACCTACTGCACTGCCCGTACCTAGCCCGCCCGGCCAGTACCTAGCCCGTCGCCCGGCCCGTACCTAGCTCGTCGCCTCGGCCCCGCTGGCCCCGTCGACTTCGTCGCCCGCGCCCGGCCCGTACCTAGCCCGTCGACCGGCCCGTACCTAGCCCGTCGCCCGGCCCGTACCTAGCCAGTCGTCTCGGCCCCGCTGGCCCCGTCAACTTCATTCTCCTCTCTCGACCCTCTCTCCTTGGTACAAACCACCTCGACTCCCTTGGCCTAGGCTACTAAGCCTAGGCCCTCACCTAAACTTAGCCTTCACTCTTGCCATGATTCTCGACATGGTATTCAGAGCAGGGACCTTCCTGCTGCCTTCCTTAACGGGCCCACCAGTTTGCTTCCGCTACATGTCGTCCTGCCACGCGCCTCGGGCGCGCGGCGATTTTCTGCCCGCCGTGTGCTCGGGGCGCACGGCGGTTTTCTGCCCCCTCCTCCTTCTTCTCCCTGCTGCGCGTGCAGCCGTGGGGGGGAGGGTATGGAGGTGGCGGGTATGGGGGTGATGGGTGGTATGTTTCCCTTCCCCTCCTCCTCCTTTCGTTCCCACTGCTGCAGCTGCCGCTGGGGGGAGGGTGTGAGGGTGTGGGGGAGCCAGGGGAGTGGCATTGGGGTGGCGGGTGTGAGACATCCAGCCCCCGTCCCTCTGAGGTGGGGGGGGGGGGGGAGGAGAGTAAAGGGGTGGCAGGAGTGCCTGCCCCTTTGCTGCTGTACCTGCTTTGTTACCTTGCCTGCTGTTGTTGTTTTCTCAGTTCGTGGTGTACCCATCCAGGATGTGTCGCTGCACAGACTCCTGCTGCAGGCAGTTATGGGGGAGTGTTAGAATATATCTGTAACTGCCTGTAGCTGTAGTTAGTGTAGTTATTATAAACTTTGTTTGGTGGTGCACCTTCTTTGTTCCTTTGCTATATGTTCTTGCAAACCTATAGTGAAGCCAATTCATTCTCGCCTAAGATTCTAACGGGGGGGTGAGTGTAAGTGAGGGAGTGCGTGAGAGAGAGCATGTTAGAGAGCGCGTGAGAGAGCGCGTGAGAGAGCGCGTGGGAGAGCGCACGTCAGAGAGTGCGTGAGAGAGAGCACATGAGAAAGCGAATGAGAAAGCGCGTGAGAGAGCGCGTGAGAGAGCGCGTGAGAGAGCACGTGAGAGCGCATTAGAGGGCATGTGAGTGAGTGCGTGAGAGAGAGCACGTGAGAGAGCACTTGAGAGAGCACGTGAGAGAGCGCGTGAGAGAGCGCGTGAGAGAGCCCATGAGAGAGCGCGTGCGCGTGAGAATGTGCGTGAGAGAGCGCGTGAGAGTGAGCATGAGAGAGCACGTGAGAGAGCGCGTGAGAGAGCGCACGTGAGAGAGCGTGTGAGAGAGCACGTGAGAGAGGCCATGAGAGAGCACGTGCGCGTGATCGCACGTGAGAGTGCCCGCGAGGGAGCGCGTGAGGGAGTGCGTGAGGGAGCGCGTGAGAGAGCGCGTGCCAGAGCGCATGAGTGAGTGCGTGAGAGAGAGCACACGAGAAAGCGCATGAGAGAGCGCGTGAGAGAGCGCGTGAGAGCGCATGAGAGAGCGCATGAGAGAGCGCGTGAGAGAGCACGTGAGAGCGCATTAGAGGGCATGTGAGTGAGTGCGTGAGAGAGAGCACGTGAGAGAGCGCTTGGGAGTGCAAGTGAGAGAGCGCGTGAGAGAGTGCGTGAGAGAGCCCATGAGAGAGCGCGTGCGCGTGAGAATATGTGTGAGAGAGCGCGTGAGAGTGAGCGTCAGAGAGCGTGTGAGAGAGCGCGTGAGAGAGTGCGTGAGAGAGCGCGTGAGAGAGCGCATGAGTGAGTGCGTGAGAGACAGCATGTGAGAAAGCGCATGAGAGAGCGCGTGAGAGACGCATAAAAGAGCGCGTGAGAGAGTGCGTGAGAGAGCGCGTGAGAACGTGTGAGAGAGCGTGAGAGAGTGCGTGAGCGAGCGCGTGAGAGAGCGTGTGAGAGTGCGTGTGAGAGAGCGCGTGAGAGTGCGCGTGAGAGTGCGCGTGAGAGAGCGCATTAGAGGGCATGTGAGTGAGTGCGTGAGAGAGAGCACGTGAGAGAGCGTGTGAGAGTGTGAGTGAGAGAGCGCGTGAGAGTGCAAGTGAGAGAGCGCGTGAGAGTGCGAGTGAGAGAGCGCGTGCGAGTGAGAGTGCGCGCGAGGGAGCGCGTGAGGGTGAGCGTGAGAGAGCGCGTGAGAGAGCGCGTGAGAGTTCGCGTGAGAGAGCGCGTGTGAGTGCGTATGAGAGAGCGCGTGAGAGAGCGCATGAGTGAGTGCGTGAGAGAGCACGTGAGATGGCGCTTGAACACGCTAGGACGTAAGTGTCAGAATCCCAACCACTAGACCATTGGGATAAAAGGGCTTGTTAAGTAGCAGGTCAGTGCGCCCATAACCCCCCAGGACAACGAGCTTGTAACCCTTCCCTATGATCAATCGGGGATCACCAGCGGACCTCTAAAACCCCACCGCACTGGGATGCCCGAAGTGCACACACTGGGATTCGAACTCGAGACCTTTGCTCTGATACCATGTCAGAATCACAGTCATTAGACAATTGGGATAAAAAAACTTGTTAATTAGCTGGTCAGTGCGCCCATAATCCCTCAGAACAACGAGCCTGTAACCCTTCCCTAGGATCAATCGGGAATCACCAGTAGACCTCTGACACCCCTCCGCACTGGGATGCCCGAAGTGCACACACTGGGATTCGAACCTGAGACATTCGCTCTAATACCATGTCAGAATCCCAACCACTATACCATTGGGATGAAAGGGCTTGTTTCAGTAGCGGGTCAGTGCGCCCATAACCCCCCAGGCTAACAGACATGTAACCCCCCCAAGGATCACTCGGGGATCTCACAGTGCAAGTCTTCTGACACCCCCCCACACTGGGAGGTCTAGGACTCGACACAGCGGCAACAGCCTGCATGTGCATACACCGGGATGCGAACCCGAGACCGTTCTGATACCATGTCAGAATCCTAGCCACTAATCACTGGTATAAAAAGGCTTGTTAAGTAGCGGGTTAGTGCGCCCATAACTCCCCAGGACAACGAGCCTGTAACCCTTCCCTAGGATCAATCGGGGATCACCAGTGCACCTCTGACAGTAAGCTCTAGCATCTTTTCTGTTAGTGCTTGGGCAATTGGAGCTACTTATGCAAACGAGTGTCGCTTTCTGCGCTGGCGCTCAGAGTGTCAGCTTCTAAGGTGTTGGCACCTCAGATGCCTAGTGAGCTAGTGCCTAGCATGCTCGCGCAGCGGGCTCTAACGCTTGGGCGCTGGCACCTAGTGTGTTGAGCCCTGTGGAGCTCGTACCTGAAGTGCTCATGGCCTTGGACGCCTATCCACCAACCCTGGGACGCTTACTGCTTAAGGCGGGCGGGTGCGTTGCCGCACGCTGGCGCCTTTCTGGAGTTCATCGGCGCCTCGCAGCGCACTCGTGCATTGCACTGGCGCCACTCGTGCATTGCACTGGTGCCTTCCTGTTATGCGTTGACGCCTTGTGCAATGCATGTGAGGGAGGGTGATTTGTATTTCTTGCTTGGCCTCCTGTAAGAGCACGTGTGTCGCAGTATCCTATTTTTACTTTCTTATGCACAGTGTGTGAACATACACTGTTTTTTGTGTAAGGAGTGTTTTGCTTTCTTTGTTCTTACTTTCTTGTGCAGGGCGTGTGTGTGTTGACTTCCCTGTTTTTGCCTGGGCATGTGTGTGTTGACTTCTCTGATTTTGCTTTGTGCAGGGTACGTGCATGAGCTGAGAAGGGAGATGAGGGAGTGGGATGGAGATGTGGGAAGGAGGGAGGGAGGGTTGTAGGGTGGGTAAAGCGGGATAGGCTAGCAATTATTTATGCATTTTTGAATTTTCCGTAAGGCCCCGGATAGAAGCGCAGGCCTCGGATAAGCGCCGGTGGTTGTAAAAGGGTGATGGCGCTTATATCCGGTCCTCGATTATAAGCACACCCCTGGAGGCTTACGGATTATAAGCGCACCCCTGTATTATGACACATTATAAGCGCCTCCCTTTTTTATTTCGTCTATTATTATCCTATCTTTTACAAGCTATTTTCAATACAACATAATAATTTTCCAATTCTACTACGGCACTAAATCCTACTGATAGTTTAGCGCAACATTCACTGACCTTCTCTAGCATCCTATGCATTCTTTTCTTCCTAGCATCCTATGCATCACCATCAACAGTGGCGGAGCCATCTTGGTCGGCCTCCCCGTCCGACTCTGGCTCCTCTACGTTGTTGCAGCAGAATCCATCTGCTGCAATCTCGTCGTCAAGTTCTACTTCACCCTTGACGGCGTCCCGCCGGTGCTGCATGCAGAGATTGTCCTGGGACCCATCCAGGGCGTTGCTGATGCCGCAGGTGAGAAACGAGCGCTGAATCAACTCCTTGGGCACGGCCTTCCAGGCCTTGGAGATCCTCTTGAGCGTCAGCTCTGGAGGTGGCTTGCGGATGTTGCCTGCCACATGGAAACACTACAGCAATCAGAACAGGGTGGAAACAGTCTAAGCAGACACATCGTACACGTTGAGATTGAGCTCACCTCTTTCGGTCAGGCAGTCGACCCCCTCGCTCTCGAACCACTCCTGGTACAGTTGGCGGACTGCTGCTTTGAATGAGCGGTTCACCGCGACGTCAAGAGGCTGGATCTCAGAGGTGCAGCCAGCTGGTATGACGGCGGGGACGATGTTCAGCTCTCCGAATTATGAGGTGCCCGCGGTAGGAGTCAAGAACCAACATCACTTTCCTGCCGCGTACTCCGAACCTGGGGCTGACATACGGGTTCACCGTCCCGTCGAGCCACGCGAGGACGCCGTCAGCGTCCATCCAACCGTTGGGATGTACGGCGACCACAACATCTGCACATCCGAACAAGGCGTACGGACAGATTAGCATCAGACATAAAAAAATATATCACATGCAAATGACACCGTCACTGCACAAGCTCCTCGGCTTACAGGAGGGGAAATTTGTCAAACTTATATGCTATAGTCTGTTTAGGCTGTAGTGGGGTAGTTCTTATAGGGTACAACAATTTTAGGTTTGCTACTTGTACCCACCTGCTTCCTAGTTCAATCATTCAATCCCTCACATTCTAGTGGGAACGTTTTTTTTAGGACCCACCACGAATATTTTTTTCCTGCCCTGCCTGAAGCGCGCGTCGTGCCCTAGCCCGTCGCGGCCCCCTACCTGTCGCGGCCCCTAGCCCGTCGCGGCCCCTAGCCCGTCGCAGCCCCTAGCCCGGCGCGGCCCCTAGCCCGTCGCGGCCCCTAGCCAGTCGCGACCCCTAGCCAGTCGCGGCCCCTAGCCCGTCGCGGCCCCTAGCCAGTCGCGACCCCTAGCCAGTCGCGGCCCCTATCCCGTCGCGGCCCCTCGCCAGTCGCGGCCCCTAGCCCGTCGCGGCCCCTAGCCTATCGTGGCCCCTAGCCCGTCGCGGCCCCTGCTGCTGGCACGGCCCCCCTGCTGTCGCGGCCCCTGCTGACGCGGCCCACTGCTGACGTGGCCCACTGCTGACGCGGCCCCTACTGGCGCGGCCCCTACTGACGCGGCCCCCTGCTGGAGTGGCCCCACCTGACGCGGCCCCCTGCAGTCGCGGCCCCTATCGGCCCGGCCCCTGCTGACGAGGCCCCCTGCTGGCGCGGCCCCTACTGGCGCGGCCCCTGCTGATCCGGCCCCCCCCTGCAGTCGCGGCCCCCCTGCTGACGCCACCCCTACTGGCGCGGCCCCTACTATCACGACCCGGCCCCCTACTGGCGCGGCCCCTGCTGTCCCGGCCCGGCCCTACACCGGTCCCTGTTGAGGCCCCCCCTGCCGTCGCCACCCCTACTGGCGCGGCCCCTGCTGTCCCGGCCCGACCCTGCACCCGTCCCTGGTAAGCACCCACGCCGCCCAGCCGAGCCGCGCCGCCCGGCCGAGCCGCGCCGCCCAGCCGAGCCGCGCGGCCCAGCCGAGCCGCGTCGCCCAACCGAGCCGCGCCGCCTAGCCGAGCTGCACTGCCCACTGAGCCGCGCCGCTCTGCCGAGCTGCACCGCCCTACCGAGCCGCACTGCCCTGCGCTGCCTCTGCTACTACTGCTGCTACTGCTGCTACTGCTCCTACTGCTGCTATGGCTAGCCCTACTGTTCTCACCTTCGATGCTAAGGGATGTGCAGTCGACTTTGACGTGTGGGTTGACGACCTACAGCTCTTTCTTTAGTGTGATTCTAGGGATGGGGTCTCCCTTTTCGATCACACATCCGGTGTTTCTACTGCTCCTGCTGCCACTGCTGACAGTACGGTTCGCTCACAGTGGACCACTCGTGATGCTGTTGCTCGTCTTGCTGTTCGTAGTCACCTGCCGCCTGCTGAGCGCGCGCATTTTGGCCAGTACAAGACTGCTCAGTCTTTGTACGACGCTGTAGTTGCGCACTACTCCTCCCCTGCCACTGCTGCCCTCAGCCGCCTCATGCTGCCGTAACTTTTCCCTGACCTTGCCGCCTTTGCCACAGTCACTGACCTAGTTGCTCACCTCCGCACTAGTGACGCCCGCTACCGCGCTGCCCTTTCCACTGAGTTCTGTGCCAAGAACCCCCCCCCCCATGTACATCACCCTTTACTACCTAGTCACCCGCCTCCCTGACTCCCTTTCTTCAGTCAGGGACCACTTTCTCTCCCTTTGCCCCACCGAGCTCACTGTCGACCTGCTACAGGAGCGCCTTGCTGCAGCTGAGAAGAGTATCTTAGCTGTCGGTGCTTCTCGCGGCGACCGTCGCACCCCTTTCTTTGAGGGGTGTTCCCCTGTCCCCCTTCTCCCCTCTGTTGCTTCTGCTGCTGCTGTCGACCTCGTTGGCACTGAGGAGGTTGGAGCTGCGTCTGCCCCTAGTGGGAGACGCCGCAACAGCAAGGGCAAGGGGAGCAAGGGTGGTGGCGGGGGAGGTGGGGGAGGCGGTGGAGGAGGTGGAGGAGGCGGAGGGGGTGGAGGTGGGGGTGGTACCGGGAGTGGGGGCTTCAGTGGCGGCGGTGGAGGTGGTGGAGGCAGTGGCGGAGGTGGAGGAGGCAGCGGCAGCGGTGGCGGAGGCAGCGGCAGCGGTGGTGGAGGTGGCGGCGGCGGTGGTGCTGGTCGAGGTGCTACCGCGCAGCGTGGAGGCTTTGGTGGTAGCCAGCGCCAGCAGCAGCCGCGTTCCTGTGAGACCCCGTCGGCCCAGCAGCTTCGTGAGTGGTACGCTGAGCGTGGGAGGTCTGGGGGTGCTGGTCCCTGCACTTACGTTCTTCGCACCGGCAGTCGTCGTGGGGAGGCGTGTGGGCTGCCACACACTACGCAGCGCTGCTTCGGTCGCTTGACTGACGCCTGGCGTGCCCAGTTTCCTGACGCTGTTGAGCTCCCTCGCTGGCATAATCTGCTTCTGCAGAATGTGCCTATCTTTGATCTTGATTTCGATGCTATCCTTGCTGCCATGTATGCTTTGACTGATAGTGCTGAGGGTGACTGTTACCTGAGTGTCCCGCCCGACCCGGGCATTGCGGCTGCTGCTCTAGGTGCTAGTGCGTCTGCTGCTCCAGGTACTGGTGAGTCTGCTGCTCCAGGTGCTGGTGAGTCTGCTCTCTCTAGTACTTCACCTACTGAGGCCTTGCACACTTTCACACTTGACTCTGGTGCTTCGCGCTCTTTCTTTAGAGACAGCACCACGCTCATGCCACTCAGTCGGCCTGTAGCAGTCTCCCTAGCTGACCCCTCTGGGGGCCCAGTCCTTGCGCACTCTTCCACGGTTCTACCGTGTCCTGCGGCCTCGTCGGGCTTGCTGTCGGGACTCCACCTCCCCTCGTTCTCTACGAACCTGGTGAGTGGAGCTGACCTCCAGGACACGTGGGTTGACCAGTTCGCCCCTGGAGGTCAACGTGTGACCCACTGCACTTGCTCTCGGACGGGCCGCCACCTGGCCACGTTCACCCGTCGGCCTGGGTCGAGTCTGTACACACTGACTACTGCGCCTCCTCCGGTCTCTGCGTTTGGTCAGGTAGCCGCGTCTAGTCTGCCCCCTGCTCGTGTCGTCCTCTGTCGCACGAGACTCTGCTCTCCAGTCAAGGCTCTCGATAGAGGAGAATTGTAGCCTTGTTGTCAATAAACAAGGTCGGTGCAGAGCTCGGCCGCTCACCAAGGTCAGTGAGCAAGAACGTCAACCAGTGCAGCTCCTGTGCAGCCATGGCTCCAGCATAGATCTCAGCCTCAGCAGTAGAGGTCGAGACGGAAGAGGAACGTGTGGACCTCCACGAAACAGCTCCAGAGCCCAGGCTGAAGCAGTACCCCTGAGTAGACTTGTGAGACTCGGCGTCGT